AAAAAAAATAAGCAGTCTATGGCAAAAACAGATGTGTGGCCAAACCATCATTGGCCAAAATGCTCTAAAAGAGCCCTGTGTGAAATTGTCATGGGTCTAGCTGGCCTGAGATAACCAGAATCTGTCTTTACTGAAGAGAGAGATACTGAGGAAAAGTATTCATTGGCCATACTGACCACACCGAAGGTATGTGTTTTCCAGAAAGAAGAGAAAAGGTTTGTTATCTTCCATGGGGCTGCTGTAACAAATCCCACAAGCTAGGTGGCTCAAAATAAAATAAATTTGTTCTCTTTAGTTCAAAAAATCAGAAGTCTGAAATCAAGAGGTTGGCAGGGTAGGTTCCTTCTGGAAGCTCTGAGGGAGACTGTTCCATGCCTCTCACCTAGCTTCTGGTGGTTTCCAGAAATCCTTGGTATCCCTTGGCTTGGAGATGCATCTCTCCAGTTTCTGCATGCATCTTCACATGGCTTCTAACCTTGTGTCTCTGAGAATATCAAATCTCTTCTCCTTTCTCTTATGAGGACATCAGTTATTGGACTTAGGGCCCACCCTAAATGCAAAATGATCTCTTCCCAAGATCCTTAATTAAATTATATCTACAAAGACCCTACTGTCAAATAAGTCATTTCCCAGGTATCTGGGATTAAGATTTGTACATAATCTTTTTCAAAAGACACTATTTAACCCTGCTTACAGATGGTGAGCAGCTTGAAAAGATAATACAGCTTTAGAAAAATGGATAAAACAAATTCATCAGATAGTAAGACAGCACACTAGGGAACACAGATGGAAAGAGCATTTACGCTGACCCAAGAGGAACAGCTATATTTGCTTCTCCAGATGGAAGCAGAAGTAGATCAAGGACAATAGCCTGGAATCTTGTTAGCTGAAACAGCCAGGTACCAAGCAACTAGGGACCACTTACAAAGCTCAAAGCCTAAAATTACTCATACTAGCCAATCCGAAATTGTTCACCTGGCCTGCCTTGCCTGTCCCCCAGAAACCCAAATAAAGGTGGTACCCCAAACCTTCTCCTTGTTTCTGCTTTTACCTCCTGACCACCCTGGTGTCTTTCCTATGTGGCCCTTTGTGATATGCTTCCTGTTTCGAGAACATGTGAGTATCATAAACTTTGTTTTCCTGAGCCCCTCCTCTGTCTCCTCATTGACCCATGTCTTAAAAGAATGCAAAATAATGAGGAAAAGAATTTTTATACATTTTTGAAGAATCCTTCCTCTAATAACTTAAAATTATACCAGAAAAATAGTAACTTTTGTGTAGGGAGATCAGAAGGACAAAGTAAAAAAGTTACCATAACCAATAATGGGAAAACAGACATTACATGCCTCCTAATACAACACACTGAGAAGGACAAAGCAATACTTCTGTGGTTTCCTTGCCACAAAAATGCCAAAACTCAATTAATCATTAAGAAACCTCATGACACACTAGCGGAGGTAAATTTTACAAAATAATTGGCCTGTACTTTTTAGAAACAACAAGAAAAAACACTTCTGAAGAGTGAGAAACTGTTTCTGATCCATAGAGAATAAAAGCAAATGAGAAATAAATGCAATTCTTGATACTGAACTTGGCTCTGGACTGAAAAAATGAGCTGTAAAGGGCATTCATAGAACAATTGACAAAATTTAAATATGGCCTATGAATTAAATAATACTATTATATCAATGTTAAATTACTTGGTTTTGAATATTGAACTAGGTTATGTAGGATAATGTCAATTTATATAGGAAATATATACCAAAGGGTTCTTTGGCCAAGGGGTACAATGTTCCCAACATACTTTCAAGGTGTTCAAAAAACAATATATACATGTTCAAAAATAACACATATGTTCAGAAATTATATATCTACATATGTATATGCATACATGAACGTATATGCATATAAGGATATAAGACAGAGATCTTCCTTAATCTTATAAATAACATCTTTAATCTTTAATTTTATAAATAACATAAAAACAAAAATACTGTTGCAAATATCATAACTCAGGGCTCATTATTAAAATACTCCCATGAGGGCGCCTGGGTGGCTCAGATGGTTAAGCGTCTGCCTTCGGCTCAGGTCATGATCCCAGGGTCCTGGGATCGAGTCCTGCATCGGGATCCCTGCTAGGCGGGGAGCCTGCTTCTCTCTCTGCCACTCCACTCCTGCTCTCTCTCTCACTCATGCTCACCCTCTCTCAAATAAATAAATATTTTTTAAAAATTTGTTGTTGTGGGCGCCTGGGTGGCTCAGTTAGTTAAGCAACTGCCTTCGGCTCAGGTCATGATCCTGGAGTCCCGGGATCGAGTCCCGCATCGGGCTCCCTGCTCGGCAGGGAGTCTGCTTCTCCCTCTGACCCTCCCCCCTCTCATGTACTCTCTCTCATTCTCGCTTTCTCAAATAAATAAATAAAATAAAATAAAATAAAATATTCCCATGAGATTAAAACAAAAGGAGGATGGCTGCTCTTTGCACTCTTAATCAGCATTTTTCTGAAGATCCTATTTTGTGCAATAAGGCAAGAAAATAAACATATAACAAGTGGAAAGGAAGAAATAAACATGTCTTCCTGCATCATGTAAACTACTTCCTCAAATGTTATCTGCACTATGAGTCCAAATACTGACAGCCAATCACAACTTTAATCCGTCTCAAATCCCTGATCTTTTTATCACCTGCACCCCTGCTCTTCTTGTTTCTATAGGACCCATCACCTTCCAATGTAGTAGGTGACTTAGTATCACAGATGCATTGTTTGTTCCTTTCCATCAACTGCAGAGTAAATTCCAGGATTTCTATTTTTATTTTGTGCACTGATATATTCCATATGCCTAGAAATGTGCCTGAACCCATAAACTACACAAACATTTGTTAAAATACTGAACAAATAATCACACAATACCCTATTTATTCACACAACACTGGATACACTTTCTCCCTCCACCCACATTGTTTTTCCTTCAATTTCACTGCCCTCAGTGCTCTCAGGAATGAGAAGGAATTATCTTCTGTAAATAGAGCCCTCAAACTGACTAAGAAATTTGATCAACCTCTTTCTTTCACTGATTAGATAAAATGGTACTCTTTCACATTCCATTAGGACTAAATTATTTCAAAAGTAGGTTCTCCCCATCTGTTTCTGCCACTCTTTTTTTTTTTTTTTAAAGATTTTATTTATTTATTTGAGAGAGAGAATGAGAGAGAGATAGCATGAGGGGGGGAGGGTCAGAGGGAGAAGCAGGCTCCCCGACGAGCCGGGAGCCCGATGCGGGACTCGATCCCGGGACTCCAGGATCACGACCTGAGCCGAAGGCAGTCGCTTAACCAACTGAGCCACCCAGGCGCCCCTCTGCCACTCTTAACGGCTTTCCTATTAGCACTTTTAATAGCTTTCAGAAGTTTTTGTAATCCCAAATATTTTTTAGTTATGTTGGGATTAATTAGAATTAATCTCTATTTCCCATGCAGACACTGTCACTGCACTTACAAGTGAAATGATAATCACTTCTTGGCAAGTAGATGAGATCACAGACCAAACCTTTATCTCTGGCATAAGTGTCCTATCGAGATGCTTCGCAGATGCTGTGGCGGCCGTCCTTGTCCTGGGAGCAAATCTAAACTGTGTAAATAGCTTTTCTTTTCAGGTAAGTATCATATTCTTAGAAAATACTTAGGAAATCCAGGATTATGCTTTTTAAAATTGGCCTTCTGAGCTCGTGGGGGTGGGGGAAGTCTTAGGTAGATGATAGATATATAGACACATAAATGATAGGTAGACAAACAGTAGATGGATAGAAAGATGATGAAGGAAGGAAGGAAGGAAGGAAGAAAAAGAAAGAAAAGAAAGAAAAGAAAAGAAAAGAAAAGAAAAGAAAAGAAAAAAAGAAAGAAAGAAAGAAGCTAAGAAGACCAAACACATACAAACAGGAAAACATTTGCTGAGGAAACCAGAGGCATTTCGCCAGTCTTGCCAAACTGCCTCAGGGCTGCCCGACATGTCCCCTCTCCTCAGTTAAATTGTTTTGAAACTTCTCTCACTTCTTCTCACGAAACACAGTGACCAGAACAGCATTCACCCTAAGGGCATCAAAATACAGGGTTGTGAGTAATAACATAAAGAAGGTGAGCTCCCACTCTGAGTAGACACCTAGTGTCTGTGTGATATCCGCTGCTGGTGTGTGTAGGTGCATGTTGTTTTGGTGTTCTGTTCTGTTTTGTTTTAAGCAGGGGTATGTTGTGCCAAATGGAGTCTGCAATGACGTGTCTCTAAATTTCTGTCATCAGTTCAGGAAGATTGTTCACCATATTTCTCATTTAGACCAGTGAAAGCCTCGTTTATCTGTCATGTACAGAAATGCAAATATTGTGTAAAGATAAATAGGGCAAAAAGATTATGGGGATATGAATAAAAGAATGTAATCCTGTAAATGTTATCCTGGAATTTAAACAGATTTTAAAGTGCCTCAGTTGTCTTGTTGTCATCCTAATCGGACACTCTCTACCCGCCAAGGACTGCCCTGTGGATTGATCCATTCCTGTATTTCTCTTTCTCTCTCTATCTCTATCCATAAAATCTCTTAGCTATAGTATGATTGCACCATATGTTTCATTTATAAGATACTTCTTTTTCAAACAAAAAATCAATAAAATTCTGACTAGACACCTTTTTAGAAGAGCTAAGAGGCACTGAATTTAGACCCTCCCTAGGTCTCCACAGAACCCCTGTGATCAGGGGAAATTAGGAGTCTTTATTACTTTCAAATTGCTGTAGGTCTTTAGAGGCTGGAGGGATGTATAACTCAGCAATGTCATAATTGTCAGGCTCTCTGTTTTGTGCAAACATTTTAAACTCCCACAGCAAATTTTATTGACACATGTTTTTATTATTTCACTTCATTTTGTGATTCTTCTTGAAGATGATTCCCGGTTCTTTCCTTTAACCCTTCTCTTATTTTGCTTCACTTTTGTTTTGTAACTTATGTTCATTACCCTAGTGATTTCCTGTATTTTTCATTTCAACCTTAAATCGTGTTATAAGATTATTATAGTTTTCATTTGAATATTTTTAACAAATCCATGTATGTGTAAAATTTAAGTAAATATTCACTATGACATACCAATTCTCCCTTTCCTCCCATACTCCTGAACTCTTAGAAAGAACATTACTGCTTGGGGTGCCTGGGTGGTTCAGTCGGTTAAGCACCTGCCTTCCGCTCAGGTCATGATCCCAGAGTCCTGGGATCAAGCCCCACATTGGGCTCTCTGCTCAGCGGGGAGCCTGCTTCTTCCTTGCCCTCTGCCTGCTGCATCCCTTGCCTGTGCTCTCTCTGTCAAATGAATAAATAAAATCTTAAAAAAAAAAGAAGAATATATCCTGGAGAAAACTCCATAGAATCAGTTCTGCTATGATGCAATGCATATGCTCCTGAAAACCACTGTGATATACAGGATCAAAAATAAAATCACAGAGCTTATTGGGACACTAGAAAATGTCATCAATGAAACATAAAAAAGAAGATAGAAGCCTAGTACATATACCAGCACAGTTTTCACATTTTAAGTACTTAAGAAATATACAAATACTGTAATAAATATGACACTTTACTTTAAAAAGCTGAAATTTGCATGTGGAAGTCAGTGTCAGAAGGATTATGGCTTTTGAGTTATTGTGAAATGGTGGGTAGGGATGGGCAAAACAGGTGAAGGGAATCAAAAGGAAAAAACTTCCACTTCCAAAATAAATTAGTCATGGGGAACTGATGAACAGTATGGTAACTATAGTTAATAATATTGTATCGTACATTTGAAAGTTGCTAAAGGAGTAGATCTCATAAGTCTCATCACAGGAAAAAAAAGTTTGTAACTATGTATGGTGACGCTGTTAACTAGACTTACTGTGATCATTCTGCAATATCTACAAATGTAAAATCATTATCTTATTCACCGGAAACTAATATAAGTTGTATAACAGTTATACCTCAATTAAAAAAACCATGTAAATAAAATCAGGCAGAAAGCTGTAACACTAGACATGGGTGTCTGAGGCTACCTCAGTGACCTGAGATGCCTGATAGATGTTTGAGTTGTGTCTTGGTGTGCATTTTTTAATCCCTGTGTGGCATGTTCCAGCTGAGGGCAGTTTTCTGCATTTATCCAGTCTTTCTTACCAATGAAAAACACCCATAAGCAGATATAAAATTTGCCTTATGTCACGATGTTTCCTAATTTCTCAATCATGTTGGAAAAAAGACTGAAACAATACTGACTGGTTCAGTACACAAAGATCTCCTGTCCTCATCCCCACAACTGTTGAGAACTGTGTGCAGTTGTGCCCTCATTCAATCACCCACAAACTTATAGATGGACACTGAGGTTATTTCTTTTGTTTGTTTTTGTTCATTTGGCAGAGTTTTCTTTCTCTCTCTTTCTTCTTTCTATTTTAATGGATTTTACTTTTTCATTGAAATATATTTGACATATAACATTGTGCAAGTTAATGTGTACAACATGTTAATTTGATAAATTTATATATTGTAATATGATTGCCATTTAGTGATAATTAGCACCTCTATCATGTTACATATCCTTTCATTTTAGTTATTGGAATAATTAAGTTATAGTCTCTTAGCAAGTTTTATGATTATCAGAGGCTATTTCTAATCCAGTTCCTCAGTGAATTGCCTTTGCACACACACACAAGAAGCATAAAATGTTAATAACCACTTAAAATGAGAAAATAAGTTTTAGAGTAAGTGCTGAAAAGTACTCTGCATAGTGTTGACAAGGCATTTATTTCTGCTTTTTTCCTCTCATTCCTCTGACTTCAATTAAAATCAGCTCCTAGATATTGATGCAATGGGTTCTGGCAAATTGGAATTGGGGACTATCTTCGTCACTCAGACTGGAATTGGGATCCTAGGAAATTCATCCCTTCTTTGTCTTTATACTTTCTCTTTGCTCACTGGACACAAGTTGACACCTACAGATTTGATTCTTAATCAACTGGTCCCAGCCAACTCCATGGTCTTTTTTCCAAAGGGATCCCTCAAACAATGGTAGCTTTTGGATCCCGATATTTCTTGAATGATGCTGCCTGTAAATTTATCTTCTATTATTACAGAGTGTGCACTGGGGTTTCCTTCAGCACTATCTGTCTCCTCAGTGGCTACCAGGTTATTAAACTGAACCCTAGTATTTGCAGGTGGATGGAGCTCAAGATTAGATCCCCAAAGTTCATTGGCTTCTGCTGTTTCCTCTGCTGGATCCTACATCTCTTGATAAATCCATTTATTTCTGTAATAATGAGTGTTCCATCAAATAGCAAAAACCTTAGTGTGGAAAAGTAATGGATGCTGTTCCTGGAATGGGGTATTGAGATTTAACATATTACATACAGCCATACATTTTCCCCTTGACTTTATGAGTTTGGGCTTCATGGTGTGGGCTAGTAGCTCCATGATCTTCATCCAGCTCAGGCACAAGCAGCAAGTACAGCACATCCACAACAACAGCCTTGCCCCCAAAACGTCCCACGAGGCCAAAGCCACAGGAACCATCTTGGTCCTGGCGAGCTCCTTTGTTACTGTTTATTCAATCTATGCCATTTTGACTGTTTGCATGACTGTGGTTGCAAATCCAGTGGAAAGTGAACAGCACTATGCTCCTCTCATCATGTTTTCCAGGCCTCAGCCCTTTTGTGCTCATGGTCAGTGACACTTGAGTCTCTCAGTTCTGCCTTGTCTGTAGGGCAAGGACAAATTGTTTTCCCAATCTGGTTAAAGTGCTATGAGTCTGTTTTAACAGCGTTTAATCATTCATTTAAACATTTGTTAACATTTTATTAACTACTGTGTGATAGGAAATTATGACATCATGGCAAATAAGGCCAGGAAAAGCCCATTGTCTTATAACAGAGGCAAAAATGAACATCATATATTTAAGTATACAAAGATTACTCACTCTGTGTTAGGATCTTCAAAGGAGAAGTTCAGAGAATTTTGAAATAGTGTAAAAGAGGGGCGCCTGGTTGGTTCAGTTGGCTAAGCATCTGACTTTAGCTCAGGTCATGATACTGGGGTCCTGGGATTGAACCCCACACATGGGGCTCCCTGCTCCGCAGGGAGTCTGCTTCTCCCTCTCCCTCTGCCCCTCCCCCCCACTCATGCCCTCGCTCTCAAATAAATGAATAAAATCGTTTTAGTTTAAAAAGGGGGTGCCTGGGTGGCTCATTCGTTAAGCATCTGCCTTCAGCTCAGGTCATGATCCCAGGTCCTGGGATCGCGTCCCGCATCAGGCTCCCTGCTCGGCAGGAAGCCTGCTTCTCCCTCTCCCACTCCCTCTGCTTGTGTTCCTGCTCTCGCTATCTCTCTGTCAAATAAATAAATAAATTCTTTAAAAAAATTTAAAAAATTAAAAGATTAAAAAGGAAGGAAATTTCTACGTTTAAGGAATTTGGGGGAATCTCTCACCTTGGTCTTACAAAAATACATGCAAGTGTTTTTTAAACATATTTTTGAATCATAATTGAGTTCAGTTCTTTCTGACAGAAAGAAAATCCCCTGGAAAGATCCTATGGAGCCTCAAGGGATTGGAAGAAATCCTGTGTGTTTAGATTGTCAAGAGGTGGGGAAAGCAGCAGACTATG